AAAATACTCTAAAATTAGATAGTGCTGATGGTTGCACAACCGTGTAAATGTACTAAATGGCACTGGGTGGTGCATTCTAAATGGCTGAATTCTCTGGTATGTAAATGATATCTCAAAAAACTACACAGAAAAATGTTTAAACTCCTCACTATCATTTTGCTTCATTTGATTAAAGAAATTCTAAAAGCAGTGGATGGGGTATAGACAGGAGGAGGGGTGCAGGTGTGTATAAAGAAGCTGACACCTGGTTGGATGCGGGCTAATCCAAGGGTGTTTTCAGCTGAGATTTCTTACCTCTTCAAAGCCACCCTCCCCATGCCCCATTAGCTACCAGTTTTATGGCACCCTGAGTCTCCTTCCACGCTGGCTTTCATCTGCAGGGTGACTGTTAGAGTTGAGTCTTCAAAGTTTCAGTTGCTGTCAGGTCACAAGAATTTCAAAGGCAGACCCCCTATTTTTAGGGAAAAGAAGATTTTTTCCTATGCAAATTGGGGCTACAATTGGATTATTTCCCTCAGATGGCTTTTCACTTCAGCAACAAAGAAATAGGAAATAAAACTTTTTCTGTAGAAGTCATTACTATCATTTTAACATATTTAAGGTTCATGCATAGTTTTTTTTTCACTGATTCTAAAGAGGGAGAGAGAGACATCAGCTTTTTTTCCCACTTATTTATGCATTTATTGGTTGCTTCTCATAAGCTCTGAATCTGCAACCTTGGCATATCTGGACGGCACTCTAACCAACTGACTCATGCATATTTATATTTCAGAAGATTAGATCCCAATAATAATTAGGTTGAGGGTGATAAACAATCAACAATCTATAGGTCATTGACAGGCAAAAGTGTTTAACAATAAAAAAGAAAAGAGATTCCACATTGTTAATCCTCTTCATAGTAAAGTGTGGAGAAGTTAGGGGAAAATATCTTCATAGGATTTGCTATCATCTCCTTTTTCAATTTTAGCCAAAAGGGTTGGTTTCAAATGACACAGGCTGATTCAGATACCAGAGCATTCCATACCCCATAGGACATTCTGTTCCTCCTAGTTAATTCCTGAAGTTCAACCATGGCCAATCAGGGAAGTGGTTCTCCCAGTCACTGGACTTGAATTAATTGTTAATTCACACAACAATTTCAAGGCCATTAACCAACAGAGGATTTCTTTATACACACTCCTCAAAAACTTTCTCTGAGGAACGGGAGGGTGAAAGAAGAAAGCTGTAATTATTCTTTCATTGCCTGAGTGAAAATGGGAAGTCTTAATAAATTGAAGTGAAGGCAGGTATTCAAAGCCCTTTGTCTCTGGGAAAGGATCACAATCCCTTTCAGCATAGGGGGGTGGGTTTCCAGTCCACTGAGGTTGCTTAAGAAGTCTGATACAAACCACATTTGTTCTGTGGCATCTTTTAACCTGCCTTTAAGAGAAGATGGAAGACACATAGACAGGTTCCCCCCCGCATTCTTCTGAGAGAGGCTAGGATAGATTCCTGTTACTCAAAGTGTGGTCCTTGTGTTCATGGCGGAAAAATGGTACCAGGCATTAAAGCTCAGTTCCCCAACCTTGGTACTTGAGCTCTGGATAAGAAAAAATTCAGAGCCAAGACTCAAACTGTACGAGAAAGTGATCCTAGAAGAAATGGGCTCGGGAAATGAGTGACAGAGGCAAAACTAGGGCCCTTGGAGCTCAGGAGAAAGAGACAAAGAACAAAGAAAATGAGCCTTGAGGGAAGAAGTGGGGGAAAGATTCCCAGCACTGGGGGTGAGGAGGGAGGGAGGCAAGGAGCCCTGGGGAAAGGTTGGGGAGGGGAAAGGCACTGGCAGGCTCTGAGAGAGCCTCACAGGGCCCCTGTACCAAGGGCTTTTGTCTGGAGGTCTCAGGGGAGAATCCCAATAGAATATTCATCACTTCCCAGGTTCTTTCCTCATGCTCTCCACTGATTGGTTCGTGCCAGGGGATCATTAGTCAACGCAGGTGATCGTGCTGTCTGCCGCGGCCTCACTTCTTTGATTTTGTTCCTTCTCTGGCCCTGGAGCTGAAACAAAGCTGAAGCCTAGATATCATCTACCAGGGGTTAGTGCTCAAGGGAGTGGTTGTATAAGGGCTTGTAGTTGTGCGAGTTGCTAAGCACCCAGGGTTCTCCACCCTGGTAACTCTCTGCACCTGGCCTATTCTAACTAATCTGCTCCTGCCTATCTAGCTGCCTACTGCACTTGGACCAGCAGCCTTGGCACCACCTGGTAGCTTGTCAAACATGCAGAATCTGCACTCTCCCTCCCAGGAGTACAGCTGTGCCTTGCCCTTCCCCCTCTTCTTCCCCTACAGGCCTGCATCTCCTCAACTCCAAGGAACCTCAAGAGACTTGCAACCAAGGGAGCAATGGGCAATGGCAGCTCACCCCAGGCTAACCCCCAAACCTGCCTCCAAGGCCCCCTTTTTTCTGACTTCCCAGTGAGCTGACAGCAGCCAGCCTTGGCTCACTTCTTCCCTGTAATGATTCTAGAGAGCCAACGCAGTCCGCCTAGTCTCTGCCCTGCTGCTCCTTCTGTCCTAAGCCATTCTTAGTCTCACTGTCCACAGCTTTAATAAATGTACTCTCAAAATTAAAAGAAAAAGCAGAATCTCAAGGCCCTACCCAAAACTACTAATTTAAAACCTGCAATGTAACAAGCCCACAGGTGACTCAAATCACATTGACGTTTGAGCAACTAGTTTAGATCAGCTGTTGCTGAACTTATCCGCAAACTGTAACACTCAGAGAGCTTTTTAAAGCCCCAGTCCTTAACAAATTCATCAGAATCTCTCAAACCAGGCATCAGAACCACCAGTGTTTTTTGTTTCCCAAATAATTCTAATGTGCAGCCAAAGTAGAAACGAATGGCCTAGAGCAAGTGTTAGCAAACTTCTTCTGTGAAAAAGCAGATAGTGAATATTTTAGTTTTCACGAGCCACACCATTGCCATCACCACTACTCCACTCTTCAGAACATCCAGCGACAATATGTAAATGAATGACCGTGCTGTCTTCCAATGAAGCTGACGCTGGACACCGATCTTTGAATCTCATATGTTACAGGCAAAATTGTTTTTTATTGCCTCAACCACGTAAACACATAAAAACTATCTTTAGCTTGAAGGATGTACAAAAACAGGTGACGACAAGGCAGGATTGGCCCTCTAGTTTTGGTTTGCCTATTCCTTAATCAAATCACTTTCTTATCAAAGGGGGAAAATCCTGAGAATTTCCACTTTAATTTAGGCTGATGCGTCGTAGGACTGACTTAGTGCCAGCCACCACATTACCAGCGAGCGTTCTGATGCCCTGTGCTTGATGGGGGTGCTGTCTCCCTGCAGAGGACAGCGCAGTGCTCCCAGGACGGCTCCTCGTGAATACAGAGAGCCTAAATGGGAGTCCTCCCAATCATCTGCCGCCTCCCACTGGGTTCTGAAGGTCTGGGTCATGGCCACTCGGTATCTATCCAGACTCATTGCCCTCAGGACATTTCATTGGTTACTTCAAGGAGTTTCAAAGGAACCAGAGAAAGCTAAACTGCCCTTGTGGATTTTGAAAGGTAATGGATGACAAGACAAGGAAACCATTGGACAGAACAAACATATATTACAATCAATTATGCTTGCTTATTTTTTCTTGCTGGCATTTTCATCCTAAATAGGGAAAAGGTTATGTGAGCACCTAGATCACGTTGTCTACTAGATTAGTAATGTGCTTTAATTGGGTAACTTTATGTTTGTTTTTCTAAAGAAGTGATTCACAGTTACAGGGCAGTCAAGGGAAATAAAGGTCATTTAATTTTCCCTTTCCATCAGCTTTGGTGCTATGGTTTTGTGCATGTTCTTGTTCTTTAGGAATGATTTAAAGCTGATATGTATCATTTAGCATTTACTTTTCCTTTAAGATTTAGATCTTCCCCTGTCAACATATGGAAGCATCAAAACCTACAGAGAATTTTTATAGGGGTTTATATGAGCTAAAACTGAAGATAATTGTCGTGGAGCCAGATCTCAAATGCTCGGGGGAATAACAGTTTTTCGATTTCTCTTATACATTTGAAATTAAGGAGGAAACATAAGGAAGATTACATGGAGGTGGGAGAAAAGCAAGGAGGGGATTGGAATACGGGATAGTTAAGATTACATGCTCTCTTGAGGGCTAATTCTTCCAGTACAATATTTCAAATGCATGTTAACCTAGGTGCACAAGAACCGTGAACAGGGCTGGCTTCTAACTTTTCGCTGAGGAAGTTACAGACCTGCAGCGTGACTGCCCACCCTGACCTGCCCAGGAATTTCTGGTCAGATCACCCTGTGAGGTTACTTTTCAAAGAGCCCCTGTTTTTTGTCCCCATCCAATCTGTACGCTGCCTGCAGGAGTCTCTTTTTAAATTTCCTATTAGCATTTTTTCTGATAACTTCAAAAAGGAAGTCTCAATTCAGTTCTATGCAGTTGCAATGAAGACTTCTCTAACAGTTGCTACTCTTCTTTTTTTTTTTTGGACAACAGTCTTGGGGCTCAGGGCCCATAATCAACAATGGTATCTAGCTGGAATTTAATGACATTATTTTATCTTTACTACTTATATTCACAGTTAGCTGTAACCGTATTATCTATTTAGAGCAGTGATGTAAAGTTTTCAAAGTAAATATTTTATACGAATAAAATACAAGCAAAATGAACTGATGTAATAATAGCACAAATGTACTTAAGCTTATGAAAGTAAACTGATTTAAATGAAAACATTATGTCCCACCCTCCAAAAAAGAAATATTAATTATGTGACAAGATAAGGGTGTGAGCTAACACTGCAGGTGGTAATCATAGCAACATGTAAATGTAGCGAATCACCACATACACACTTTAGACAATGTTATTTGTCAATTATATCTCAATAAAATAAAATACGTAAATAAAACAAATTATGTAAAATAAAACAATATTATGTAAATATTCTGTATCTGTGTACAGAAGGTATATACTCACCACGAATTGTGACACAGTATGACAATAACTGAAACAGGGAAAACGACCTTTGGGAAGAAGGAACAGGCAGCTCCTGAGGCCCAGTCGAAGAACAGAGGGACGCCAGCAGCCTGTGGGGGAGGGAGTGGGAAGACGAAGTTGAAGAAGCAGACCTGGGCCTGGAGTGGTGGCGAAGTTGAAGAAGCAGACCTGGGCCTGGAGTGGTGGCGGGGCAGGGCTGAGAGGTCAGTACTATTTTCTCTCAGATACCATTAGAAGGCCACCAAAATTTAACTCTTTAATTACCCATGAGAAGTATTAAGCTTTTAAAAGCCTCTTTGGTAGTGATGATTTCAAAAGAGAAGGAAAATATAAAGTAGCAAAGGAAAATGTGTTTTCGTTTCTTTTCAAATCAGTAAGAGGAAGGCAATTTATACTCAAGGAATAAAATATGTGTTGTAAAGTGTTCTTAAAATCAATAGTTAAGTACTTATTAAGAGATTATTAATACAATAGCTACTGCATTAACTATTAGTAAACTAGCATTTATCAGTTTACAAATAGTTTTTTACATTCATTCTCCAAATTTGCTTTATAATGGTTACATAGAAATAACTGTTGGTGGTTTTCTTTTTTTTTTTATCTCTGTTACGTATTAAGCAACTCATGACCCAGAGAGATCATGTTTATTTCCCAATATTGGCTAAAATTTGAGTCCAACTCTACTGATTCTAAATTACACACCTTCTTTTGGTTCTGCGTGCAACAAAACATCCACTGTTTGACCCAAAAGGTGAAGTTTTAGGCATGTTTTGATAAGAGGCAGGGACATGTTTTTTGTGGGGTTTTTTTTACCATTTTAGTAACTATTCAGCAAATATTTCTTGAGGTCTTATTATGTTCCAACAGCTAGGAGAAATACACACCAGGGAGTATGATGCAATTTTATAAACATAAGAAAAGTCAAAAAGCAATAAAGAGGATGCTCTGGGGGCCCTGTGAATGGCCGTCGGGCTCCGCATCCCGTCTTTGGCGCCATTCCAGGCAGCCCAGCACCTGGAGGGGAAAGGACGTTCTCAGGTGGGAACCACAAAGGCTTTCAGAAATCAATCAAGCAGTTCTGTTAAAATTTACAATACGTAGATACATAGATACAGAATGTGCCCCCTCAAAGTCGGCCACTTTGGCATATGGATGATTTTGAGCTGAAAATAAGGAAGACTCAGCAGATCAAAGAAAAAAAATATGAACCTCTCCTTTAACTACCTAAAAGAATTTAGAAAGAGGACCTGGCCTAGAGGTAAGTTTGTAGCTGAATGGCCTCTCTGTATGGCAGGGCAAACATCTACTGACCAAACATACTCTTCTTACTGTCCCATTAAGTACCCTTCTCTCTTTTGAAGCCTCAGGACTCTATCCCATTCCTTAGCTCCAGATGGCCCATGAGCCTCAACTGCCCGACTTGGCCTTGGGTCTCATATTCTTATACCCCCATCCCATGTACTGATTAAGTTTGTTTTTCTCCTGTTAATCTGTCTTGTGTTGACATGATTAGACCAGCCAAAGACCCTAGCAGGGCATAAGAAAGTTTCCTTCTCCAGTAATCCTTTCCACATGAGAGGAGCGTTTACAGTCTTGGCCATGCTCTGTTTCTTGCTCGAGGTGTTGGCTACACTGGGGTATTTAGCTGGTAAAATTTCACAAGATGTACAAGTTATGTGTTTTATATTTTAATGTATCTCATTTCTGTAAGAATATTTAATAAGTTAAACAATAAAAATGTATACTCAATCCAGTAGTCCTTTTTCCAAGGGAGATATTCCCTAGAAACACAATGTTTATTGCATCATTCATAGCAGCAAAAATTTGGAAACAACATGAATACCCGCTAATACAGTAATTGAGGTACACCCATGTGAGAAAAAAATATTCACTTATTAAAAAGAATGAATTACACTGACTTGGAAAGATTTCCATGTTTGTTGAATGAAACCTAGAGAAGTGGATAAAATACAATTTCATTTAAAAAATAACATAAAATCTACCAGTATAAATATATAAGTAAGCCTACATCATATTTTATGAGTACTGAGAAATGAGTGATGGATATATGAAACTGGAGAAGTCAGAGTTCCTGCTGCCTGCTGCTATCAGACCCAGTAACTAGGGACAAGGATTGAATCTTTATGGACACTATATTCAGATGCTGGCGATCTCAGAACACATTAGCTTCCAAAACCTTCTCATCACAAGCTGAGTTTTTTAATAAGAAGAAGAAAGGGCAGGTAAGAGGTTTGGAAAAAAGGTTAATTGGATAAGAGTTGCAATTTTCCTAGTACTTCTTTATCTGTTGATCAACAAATTCTTTATCTGTATCACGAACATTCCCTCCCTGTAACACTCGGGCTCAGATCCCATCTCCATCCCTTGCAGACCCCCTGGGGCACAAGGTTGAATTGCTTGTTGACCTCCTGGAGTCCTGGGGTCTTACATTCCAGTTCCTGGAAGAGCAGCTTTCCACAAGGGTAAATCACTTAAGCCTATCAACTATGACTGCAGCTAAAATCTTTAACTCTTGAGTTCCCCTATCATATACACAAAGCTGTTAACATTGATTTGTGGGCAAGTAGGGAGGGCATAAACTTAAATCTTATATCCAAAATGAAGCAAGAGTCATAATGGAATTTCTTGAAAACAAATAGACTTTATTTTTAAAAATGATTTTAGATTACAGAAAAATCTATCGACTACAGAAAAATTGAGCAGTTAGTACAGATTTCCTGTGTATCTCAGCCCTATTAGTAAGTAATGTTTCATTAGTATGGTACAGGTGTTACAAATAATCAACCAATATTAACGCATTGTTATTAACTCAAGTCCATAGTTTATTTAGATTTCCTTATGCCCTGTTTCTGTTTCAGAATACTGTACTATACCTAGTAGTCATGTCTCTCTAGGCCCCTCTGACACATTCTCTCAGGCTTTCCTTGCTGGCTTTGACAGTCTTGAGGAGTCATTGTCAGCCATATTGCAGGATGTAGCTCTGCTGGAATTTATTTGATGTTATTCTCATAAACAGACTGGGGTAATGGATTTGTGGGAAGAAGATCACAGAGGTAAATCAGCATTTCATATATCCCATCAAGGGGACATAGGACAAACAGGATTTCTGACTGTTGATGTCAACACTGATCACCAGGCTGAAGTAGTGTTTGTCGAGTTTCTCCACTGGACTCTTCCCCCCACTTTTCAAACTGTAGTTGACACCGGAAAAGCTGGTGTTCATGATGCCTGTCACTATCAGACCCAATAAGCAGAGACAGGGATTGAATCTTTGTGGGTGCTTTATTCAGATGGCCGGCGATCTGAGAAGACAGCAGGTTTGTGCCCTGACAGACTGTCTTCAAGCCCATTTTAAAATGGCCCTTTTTATAAGGAGAACAAAGTGTAGGTAAGAGGTTTGGAATTCAGGGAAAAGTTAATTAGATTAAAAACTACAGCCTTCTGGCCCTGGGTAGTGTCTTTAGCTGTGTCCTGGGTGGAGGCCTCTCACTCTGGAGCACAATGGCTCAGATTCCATCTTGAATGGCTTGCAGGCCTCCTGGGGCTTATGGTCTCCTGGAGTCAGGGTGGGTCATTCCTTCAGTTCCTGGAACAACGGCTTTTACATGCATTGATTACTAAGATTATTAGCTATTACCTAAACTAAGATTTTCCAACTTCTGAGTCCTCCATCATAGCCTTTGGAAGAAAGTCACTATGTACAGCCTACACTCTTCCTTTAGGCCAGAATGGCTATGCAAATCAGTTGAAATTCTTCGGCACAGGACAATTACAATGGAATTTTAAGTGTGGAGATCATAGTGCATTACCCAAAGGTCACAGTCAAATTTCACCAAGGGTTCAACTCTTTGCTTCCGGCAAAGAAATACAAAGGTCAAAACACCTTTCTCCTTTCTCTGAAGTAGTAAAATTTGCTGCAAGTTCCCAAGGCCAACCGCTTGGGTGCAAATCAGGAGCAAACAATGCCCTGGAGAGCTCAGACAGAGCACTGCAAGCCCAGGGGGTGGAATCTAAAGGGTTAGCCTTAGCTTTGAATAGGGGAAAAAAACAACACCCTGTGTAACTTGGATCACTATTGTCTGTTGATGATCTGATCAAAGGGTGAGGTGATTGGGAAAGGGGAAGTACTTCTAATTTGGGTATTTCCCAAAAAACTGTAACAAAAACAAAGGGCCATTTTTGGCAAGGTTTCTTCAACTGGATTTCAGGGGGGAAAGCCTGCAGAGCATTGAGTTGGGTTACTCCAAGCAGAACAGGATAATTGTCTGAGGGAGTATGGTGGCTGTGAAAATGGAAAACCGTAATTGTATGTCAGATACTACTATCTATCACTTTAGATGCTGCATTAGCTAGCTACTGTGATTATTAGCAATGTGGCCAACTCTTCTCCTTGTCTGATAAGGATAGAGCTAGGTTTGAACCAGAGTGACTTTGGCTCCTAGGTCTGTTCTCTGTGTCAGTCTGCCCCACAGAATTACTGTGTTTTTAGAACTATGAGATGCATCCCCCCAAATTTGGGAGAAAGAGGGGGGTACGTCTTACACTTTGAATGTAGCTTACCTGGCTCACTGTGGGGGTGGGGAGAGATGGTGGCCTATGTTATTTATATTATTAAATATTTTACCACATTTTTTGCTTCAAAAATTTTTTCCCTACTTTCCTCCTCTAAAACCTAGCTGTGTCTTATGGTCCGGCGCATCTTACAGTCCGAACAAGTCGGGATGTATAGTTCTGTAGTATAGATATGTTGTACTTTTAACATCACATTTACCATGTATTTCTTGCATATTCCCATCTCTTGTTGGAACAAATTAGGGTTCTAGAAATGTATATGTTCCATAGCAGGAAAGAGATCTGAATTTTAACCCAATATATATTCTCACATAAATGAGAAATTTTCACACAGCAGCAGTATCCTGCCTGTGGGTCAGTGTACTCTGATTATTTTTCTTCTTTTATTAAAATAACAATAGTAAGCAACCTATTGGAATTGGCGTCACAGACCACAAACAAGTAGCCTCCAAATTTAAAAAGCATTTGTACTAAAGGAATGTCCAACTTTATGTTTGAATTCCAATTCAATCAAGCAACCT